GGTCTAACTGACATCCAGTGAGGTTTTAGGAGAGGAATCTATATACAAACCTCCATCCTCTCCACAATTACAGCCCTCTTGTACTTCAAACTATAATGCCTGATGTATGTATGTATGTATGTGTGTGTGTGTGTGTGTGTGTGTGTGTGTGTGTGTGTGTGTGTGTGTGTGTAAATAAGTAAATGTATGTAAAGAAGTAAATAAATAAATGTACTACGTAAAGGTAAAGGTAAAGATTCCCCTTGACATTTAGTCCAGTCGTGTTCGACTCTAGGGGGCGGTGCTCATCCCCGTTTCCAAGCCATAGAACCAGCGTTTTGTCCAAAGACCATCTTCCATGGTCACATGGCCAGTGCGACTTAGACACGGAACGCTGTTACCTTCCTACCGAGGTGGTCCCTATTTATCTACTTGCTATTGCATGCTTTCGAACTGCTAGGTTGGCGAGGATCTGGGACAGAGCGACGAGAGCTCGCTCCGTCGCGTGGATTCAATCTTACGGCTGCTTGGTCTTCTGACCCTGCAGCACAGGCTTCTGCAGTTTAGCCCGCAGTGCCACCACGTCCCCTACGTACATACATTTATTTATTTACTTAATTTGATCTGATTTGAAATGTGATTCAAGACATCTATACTTCTGCATCACTTTGCTGTGCTGCAATTAGGGGCCATGTTAGTGTTTCCAGCATTATCTGCCAAGTTAATCTCAGAAAATGATACAAGAGACTTCTGTTTTGCTGCATGGCTGCTCTGGGTGGCTCTCTCACATTTTGGGGGGGGTGACCCTGGCTGCTAAGAATGGGGTTCGCAGCCTGGGGGTACACCTGGACCCGATGCTCACCATGGAAACCCAAGTGGTGTCGGTAGTTCGCACCGCCTTTCTCCACCTTTGGCGGATTGCCCGGCTGTGACCCTATCTTGACATGGGGGCACTCACTACCTTGGTACATGCGCTTGTAATCTCAAGACTAGACCACTGTAACACGCTCTGCGTGGGGCTACCTTTGAGGCTGATGCTGAAACTTCAGGTGGTGCAGAATGCAGCAGCCAGACTCCTTACTGGAGTGAGAAAACACCAACATATTTCTCCTGTTCTGGCCAAACTGCACTGGCTGCCCATCTGTTTCCGCATTGACTTCAAAGTTCTAATGCTTACCTATAAGGCCCTAA